TCAGGAAAGCCCGGGGTTTTCAAATCCACTTCTGTTTTTTTGACAGGTTCTGTTTTATATCAAGGAGAGACAATTTTCTAGCTTGACCCCGGTTATGTCATGCATTTTCTCTTGTAAAATACATCCAATAACGTACATTCAACTCAAAAAGTACGGTGGTTTTTTTTCAATAGGATTTAATCTAAACCATATAATACAGTCCGTGAATAGCTGAATTAACTGAATCCACTTCTGTTTTTCGCCTAGATAGTCATAATTTTGAGAAAAGATCCAAAAACCGTGTTTTTGAGAAATAATATGTATGAGCTCACATGAGGGGGCGTGAGCTTGAAATCGTAGCTGWCCAAATGTTAACAGATTTTTTCTGATGGCCATCTCAGCTGTAAACGCTAGACTAGCACAAGAACGCACCAACCTCACTACCACTGACGTTTATGTTCTTTTGTTTAAATTCCACCAAATTCATTTTTTAAAAACACTTTCTACCTAAAATGAATGGTACTGCGATGGGATTTCATATACCTGTTGAAGCTAGATCCCACGCAAGCTTCACAGCTACATCTAGAATCTTGTGATATGTAGTTAACTAACACACTATGGTATTTCAGCGGGTTTTTGACCACGCGCATGCTCTTTGGTTCAAAAACGAATTACCAATTTAGTTGTGGATGTCAATTTGATAAAACAGAAAACAGGTTTTTGACCAATTATCGATTTTGTATTGACAAGTGCATATAATGGGCCGCTTTGTRAATTATTGCTGAATGAACTTGTGGTATTCGATGTTTGTTTCATCAACCGTCGAGGTAAGTCATCAAGATTTTGTGACATCTTTCGGCTCTAAATTCCGCGTCCTTAAATTCAAAAGTRCCTTTTTCTACTTGGTTCAGCATCTTATTTTTGTCAGTTATCTTAAAACCCGACTGGTGAACGAGTTGGGTGAGGTTGTATTTTTTTAGGAATTGATTGGTTGGATGATTCAATRTTCCTTTTTATTCTCTCAAGTCTCACGCATTCCTTTCCAAAATGCAAGTGCTTGCGAAAAAAGCTATAGTATAGACAAGAAGTACGTTTATCTTTTCCCTTAGTAAAGTCACGATAACCAGTATATTTCGTTATTAGAGCAAAACTTTCATTTATTTCTTTAGCATGAATTTACATTCATATTCTATATTTTATTTGAATACCTGRAAGTCAACCAAACCAAGGCCTGACGAGCCATATTTTCATGTTTTCGGAACCTTTTGAGTAAAATTCGCGTGATAATTCTGTCGTGACTACATTTCCCTTCATGTAGTAACCTCTAAGCACAGTATATGTGGTCTTTAATCATTTCAAACAAATAATTTCTTGTTTTACTAAATGTAATTTAAAAATTTGGATGGCAAATTTCTGCATATGTCAATATTTTGGCGTAATTTTTATCTACAAACTTTAATTAATATTCAACTCGAAATTATACACTCGTCATTTAGCAGATGTTCGACTGACGTACCGCAGTGTTTTCTTCGACAAAAAGCGTAATCTACAAATGGGATATCATATTGTCGTCCTATGTCAACATATTTCAGTTTGATTACGGAGATTTGGGTTTACCCTTTTTGCGGTGATTTTTAACGATATAATAAATTTTGTCTTATGGTGAAAAAGAGATATTTGTGCATGTTATTTTGATGTCTTTATCAATCCTAACTATGACCTAAATCGCCGCAAACATCGCACCTCAAATGAATTGCTGAAATAAAATCGTCCCGTGTAAACGAGGCCTTAATTCCGGATCCCACGCAACACGATTTCCCCACCTAATATTTTAGATAGCAAAGCTACCAGCTATTGGGTGTATTTAATTGATCAAATTGAATGTTGATTATGAAGAACAATGCGTTGGCTTTCTGCTCTTAATTTAATTTCTTCTTTTTTTATACAATATGTAGTAGGTGTAATTAATAGTAGATAGAGGAAAATAAACAAAGTATAAAGGCAATTTTTTTATCTTAAAAATTTGAAATTTTAAAAGTCAACGAAGGATTGACAAAGCAATAAAGTCTTTATTTCAATTCGTTTCGTGGTTAAGCCAACTGATTTTTCTTTTCTTTTGTTTTTTAATCTTTTTATCGTGTTTTAGAAATCTTTTTCTTGCTATTTTGCATCTTGTTTTGAACAGTGGTTCAATCGTTTTTTTTTGGGAGGGAGGGTGGGGGGGTTGGAATATGGGATAGGTTTGGGGTTAAAGTAGAATTGATTCTCAAGCATGATAAAAAGCACATCTGCACGTACGTAGTTTCCATTCACACGGGCAAGGTAAAAACAAACTTAYAATATATGGAATTTCATTAACCAGGCTATATTTGATTATTTGTAGAATTCCATTAACATYGGTTAGTATAGAGATAAACAGGAACAATTCTATTAAAAGGGTTGATGCACAAGTTAGGCTTCATTAAGTAATAAGTCGAAATCAACGGTAAGTAATCAACGGTAAGTGAAATCAACGGGGAAGGAACTACAACCAATAAGGTTGTGCCAAAAACTATTTTTATATTTCAAGCGTGATCTTCTACTTTGTTAGGAGAACTTGAATAAGCAGGTGAATGAATCAAGGACAGCCATGTTGACTCTGCTATACTGATTTARCAGGAACAAACTGACAATCACGTTTGTTGCGTTGGATAATTGTTTTACTAATGAATTCGCGGTTCGTGTCCCATTTCCTTTTTATATGATTTTTTTTTCTTTTTCGAGAAGAATGTTTAGCACGAAGGTCACGTACTTATTTGTTAGAAACCGGTTTTGGAGTAAACACTAAATTTTCCACTGGAAATAAAAACCCCCGAGATTTTGATCATTTCATTTTATAATTCATTTGTCATCAGCACTGATAGATTTCAGGTATGCAATTTTGCAGCGCTGTTATATTTCACCAGTTTTGGACTAGTGATTCTCTTTACCGAATAATAATAATCATAATTTATCATGACTTATTATTGATCACTGAGGATCATGGAAACCTTTTCATATCAAACAAGTAAAACGTTTTTGATACAAACTGMAGCTTGAGGATGCCCAGAAGAGGTGAGACTATAACTGGTAGAAGTCCATCAACAGTTATCAAGCGTTTGAAACATGTAAAATGTATCTACCCATAATCCTTGTCGCCTCAGCTTTATAGGTTGTCAGGTGACTAACTTTATTGAAATAAGTATATATAGATTATTATTTATTTTTGTAGATAACATGGGGTTCGGCGATGACTACTGTAAACACGTCTGGGCTCCCTTTGGTTTATCGATCACAACTTCAGTGATCACCAGTCTTCTCACCGTCATCACACTACCTGGCAACCTACTCATTTGCATAGCGATATTAAGAGACCCAAATAAGGAACTAAGAACAACGTTCAATTATTTATT